GCCTGGGCTCTGGGCCCTGGGTCCAGAGGACACCTGAGGATCAGCAGGCCCGCTGTGCAAGGCGATCCAGGCTCAGGACCCTGGGTGAACACAGCTCACTCCCCAAGAACACTCGTGATTCTCTAGTGTCTACCTGAGCTCAGCAAAGTCAATTCAGCTAACAGCCTGGAGCCAGGCATGGATCCCTTTATCAAAAGCCAGCAAATGTCACCAGGCACCTAGCCCAGAGCCTGCAGGCAAAAGCAGTCATGTGATCTTTACCACCTCCCAGCGAAGGGAAAGACCGGGGAGAGCCAGATGGCTGGAACATTTGTCAATGGCCTCAGATAGGATCCTGGAGTGGGGAGAAAACCCTGGAGGGCGCCTTCCTAGTATGCCCCTACCTTCCTGGAGAAGGGGGCAAAGGCACAAAATGACCAGGAAAGGGGCCATCAAGGATGCTGAGGCTCCGGCCCCACCCACCCGGTGGCTCACAGAGGCCGCTGCGAGTGCTAAGGACAAGGGGGCTGGGGACTCAGAGCCTCGCAGGGTCTCGGGGTCTGCAGTGGGGAAAAGGGGTCTCTGTCCTGGTCTCCAGTGCCCCAGTTCCTCAGCTCTCCTCCTCTGCGGCTCTCAGCCCCTTCCCAAACTGCCAGTGTCTTGAGGCCACCTGAACAATGACCCCAAGAACCGAGGTCCTAATTCCTGGAGCCTCACACTGGCAAAAGACATCACCCTGGATAATCTGGTGGGCCTGGCTGTGCGGGGTGTGGTTGTGCCTGTAGTGTGCGTGTGTGCTGCAGATGTGTGGTTTGTGTTCCTTCCTGTCCCCCGCGGTGGCAGCACGGTGAATACTGCTTGGGAAGCAATCACCGCACACTGCAGGCCAGTCCCCAGGCGCTTGGGTCTCATTTAGTGCCTCAGGCCACTGTGAACTGCTCCAGGGCCTGGTGGCGCCCTGGTCTCCAAGGACTCGGGCATAAAGGCTGAGGAAGGGCAGAGCATGCCCTGCCCAGCATTCCTGTCAGTAAGCTCAGAGGCCACTGGGGGCTCAGGGACCAGGCCAGGCTCACTCTTCCAGTCACCATGCTTGGGGCCCACTCTGGAGTCACCTGAGACTACCTGTCCTGTGGAAGGGGCATCCTAACTGCTGTCCCGCCACAGGAGACATCCACGTACCCAGCCTGCACAGCTGCTCCTCACCCTGCCACTCCACGCCAGGCCTCCCTCCGCTGGCAACTCTCCCTCCGCAGACCATGGGACATTTCAGGTGGACCCACCCTGACCCCTTTCAGCAAGGCTCTGACCTCCCCCCTCCTACATGGCTGAGTCCACAGGGATACGTCCCAACCCCTGGCTTGGAGCATGTCGGCAGGTGGGACTGTCTCCAGGTGCCACACAGGCCCTGGGTGGGAGCAGCGGAGGCCCTTACCTCAAGGACAGGCCTGGCCTTTGGCCAGCGAGACTCTCCCTGAGACGAAGGGTCTCCCAGTAGAGCTGGCAGGAAGCAGCGGGGGAACTGCAGATTCCACATTCGCCCTCTCTGTAGGTTCCCATCCTAGAAACCCTCTGCTAGGCCCTCAGACAGCCCCAAGCCACTTAGGACAATTACCACAGAAAAGCTGTTTAGGGAAAGGGGAAAAACTGTCAGGGTTCCAACCCCCCACCCCTTGCCTGGAGGCAGCAGGCTGAGGCTGGGAGAAGGCTCTGCATAGAGGGAAGCCTGCGCCTTCAACCTTCGGAGCCTGGGCCTCACCTGGAATAGCATCTGCTGCTTCCTCGGGGTCAGTGCCAAAGACAGAACACAAGGCACAGCTCCAGTTGCTCCTAGAGGCCACACCAGGGACTCTGCTCCTGGAGCAAGCTCCCAGCCTGCAGGCCCCATGGGTCCCTCTGGGTGCACCACAGGCCAAGCCTGCCCGGGATTTGATCCTCTCTGCACAGGACCAAGGCCAGCCACCCTTTCCACCCTTTCCACGGAGAACCTCACAAATGAGGCTACAAGGGAACAGAAAACAAGGGTCGCAGATGAAGCCAAATGTTTCTGGATGGAGAATAACGACCACACGAGGAGGAGGGCAGAGGAGACTGGAGTCTGTTTCCAGTCTGGTTCCCCATCCCTTCCAGGTTAGGCTCCTCCATCCCTCAGTTCTCGGCCACGCCCTGAACACTGCTGACCGCAGCTGCACTTCACAGATGCCTGGCCACCAGCTTCCTGTTAGGTCTGGTCCTGGGAGCACTGACAGGAGACAGGAGTCGGAAGGAAGAAACCTGTCTCCAGCCCAGGACCTCTTGCCAGCAGAGGGAGGCTGCAGGTTCCGAGGCCCAGTCTCAGTGGCTTGGCAAGTGGGGCTGGGCAGTGCCATCTTCCTTCTGCTCATCCGGCCCATGCTGGTGGTGGCTTCCTGCAGCTCCCGCATGTTGGTCCTAGCCTTCCTGCCACCTTTGTAACAAATCCCCTGCATTAAATTCTCCATGTGTGAAGTACCTGGAGTGGTTTCTGCTGATATAACAGCAAGGTACCAATCTTTCATTTTCTCCCACACCCAGGTGCTTATATGAACACCTGGCCAACAGGTAACAACCTGAGAACCTGTCGTTTAAACAGGTAATGATCCCCTGCCACAGAGCCTGCCTGCACCAGCCAGTGAAGGAGCCCTGGGTCCTATGCCATGTTGTATGGACCCAATGTTAGCTTCCTTGGCTCCCCCACACCAGGGGGGTACCTGAGTGCTTGTGAAGGACTCCACTTCTGCCACAGGACACAGGCCACCCAGCCACCTGAGGGACTTTCCATCCTGCCTGTCCCAAGGTAGAATACTTGACTGAAGGGCAGGTATCTAAGTCCAGGTTTGGTCCACAGCACTAAGCAAAAGAGCCTGGGCATTCTGGGCACAGTGGTGCACACTTGTGGTCCCAGCTACTGCGGAGGCTGAGGTGGGAGGATTGCGTCAGCCCAGGAATTCAGGGTCATACCAAGCAAGGTAGCAAGACCCTATCTCACAAAACAAAGAGCTTGGACCACAGGAGTCAGTCACTCAAAGATCTGTCCTTGCAGCACTGATGAACAAGCAAGTCCTGTCCCTCACCTGGGACCTGTCCAGTGCCACCAGTTGAAAACTGGCATGATGCCTTCACAGCGGACACAGGCCACCCAAAAGCTCCCAAAACTTTAACAAGAAGTGAACGACAGCTTAAAACTGTATAGTTTATTAAAAAAAATGTTTTTTTAAAAGTTAAACTGGGTTTGTTTCCCTTTTTCAAGTTCTCTCTTCCTCTCTGTGCAGGGGCCCAGGCCACCATCAGACAAAACCGGAGCACTGGACACTGCCTAAGCCAAGGACACATGTGGAGCATGGTTTTAGCTGAACTATCATCTTTCTAGATGTCCCTTCAGAATATTCTCCAACACAGGCTAAAGCCCTCCTTTGGGTAGGACACGAGATTTTCAATATTTTCTGCCTTCCATTCCTCCTGCCCCTGTGGAGCGTAGTGACTGTGACCAGGAGTCCCTGATTGCTTCATAGATGTGGTGCACGGAATGTTTCTGTCCAAGGACACAGGATGCCCAGTTGTTCTGGTGATGCCCTGCCTGAAGAGGCTCTGTCCAGGAGTCTTACTGATCTCAGGCACATAGCTCCCGGCATACAGGAATTCTGAGCAGCACAAAACAACTACAATGTTTCACCAGCGCTGCCATTTCTAAGCCTGCTTAACAGTAACTCTGAACAATGGGATTCCTGGGTGCCACAAGAAGCCCCAAGCATTGCAACAGTGAAATAGCTGCAAGAATGTTTCTAGCCCTGTAACATTCTAGTGCCCAAAGAACAATGCTTTTACTTCATGATGAGACCCTAGAAAAATAACTTGCTGAGCCAGCTCTTCACTGTTTTTCCAGCAGAGTGCAGTATCTCACCTGATCCCAGCTTTTCTTAATGTCTCCTTCTGTGTGTGTGGGTTTCTCTTAATCCCTCATTGTCCCTAGCCGGTTCCTTGGGTGCCCTCCCCCCACCTTTCCATCAGGTGACCCAGTGCAGATTTAGCTCATAGCACTGAGCCCAGCTACAAGGGAGGTAGAAACCTCATGGAACGAATCATCAACACAATTTCCCTCTGGAAGCTCTAAAGTTACTTATTAAAAATTCCCAAATGCCCCATCTATTAACCTCCCATTTGTTAGAGAAACAGTAGCAACCCCCTACACAAGTGGGCAAGCTGTGGCTTTGGGGCCAAATCTAGCTCACTGCTGTGTTTTGTGAATAAAGTTTTATTGGCACATGGCCCCACTGACTCCTTACGGATCATCCATGGCTGCTTCGAGAGTTTAAGAGCACAGCCAAGTGATTGTGACAGAGACCTTGTGGCCCACAAAGCCTGAAATAGTTAACATCTGGCCCTTTACGGGAAAAAGCTGGTTAACCCCTGCTGTATACCGGGAATAACTTCATGCTGATTGCTTGCAATTTATCTCAGGCTGGACCCACCACGAAAGCATGAGAGAGCCACAGCCAGGCAGGTGGTGGGCAGTGAAGTCAGCTCATGACCCAGTGAGCATGGACGAGGCCCCCGCCCACTTGCCTCTGGGAAGACAGAGCAACGGATGGGATGACTGCAACTCACCTGTGGCTTGGCAGAAGAGGTGGAAGGTCCCCAGAGCATGCACCTGCTGTGCCTGGTCACTCAGGAAGGGCGGCAACAAGATGACCCGTGTGCGGCTGTCGGGCCCTGAGCTCAAGGCCGGCCAGGGGCTCCGGGGAGAGGAAGACCAGTCGGGACCCAGACAGGACAGGGAGGAGGAGCCAGGAGGAGGGAAGGGCTTAGGAGATGAGGCTGCGAGACAGAGGACAGAAAAGAAAGGGTACTGAGGCGGAAGTCGTCAGGAACACACCCCGTGCCGGAGAAGGTGGTACACAGCAGGAGACAGACACGTGGGGGTGAGAAAGAAAGTTCCCAGGTGACCCCACCAGGGCCACTCACGGGGAGAGGACACATGGCCTCTGCTAAGTAACGGCCTGCCCAACTCAACCATGGAAGCTTTTCGTTTATTCAGGTACTTTCCAAATGTATACAATTCAAAGTAGAAAAATAAAAACAACGTAACTTTTATAAAACACAAATGTTTACACCAAATGGTCAAATCATAGCAGGCTGGAAGATGAGACTGTCCACACAGGCACACAAAAATCCGGAGTTTATTGCTCTTTGCCACGGAAAGAAAAGCCTCTTCTTACTGGGTATTCACAGAGCAGGGAGATGGAATGGAAGAGAAATAAAGGTTGAGCTCCTCCTGCCCACGGACAGCCTTACACACGGTGGCAGAGCTGGTCGGGAAGGGCGGCCACGTCCACAGGTGGCTGGGATCATGGCTGCTTCTGGTCCAGGGTGGACAGCTCTGTTAGACTTGGGGCATGTCTGGGCAGGGCAGTGGGGGTGAGATGGAAGAGACAGGAGAGGATCAGAGAGCCAAAGACGTCCTTGTGAAGTGCCATCCGCCTGGACGGGAGGGTTCCTCCGGCAGCCATGGGCATCGGAGGATGCTCTTCCCCTCATGGGCCAGCCCGATCGTCGCAGGGAGCCATCGATCCACCTTGCACCATTCAAACCCGTCTTGTGGATGTGGGACAGTCCTCCTCTTCAAGAGTGAAGAAAGAAAAAAATAAAGTCCAGAAGCACGATCTCTCTGGAAGTGATGCTTCCCTCAAGGAATAAAGTTAAAAAAAAAAAAGAGTGTGTTCAAGAGATGGTTTCAGGTCTACGTTTCTACAAGCCGAAAGAATGGATTTAGCAAAAGTAAGTCTATCCCTGAGAATCTTAAGCAACATAAGTCATATTTTATCCCAATATATAACAAAATCTGGAAGATGCACATCTTCTAAATATTAAAACATCTGCTCCAGTAATTTAAAAAAAATGACCTAAGACATTAATACCATCAAAGCAAAACTTCTAAAATAATTAAATGGAAGAAAAGGTTCGTGCCAATCTGGACAACAGGCGATAAGTTACCAATCTGATAAACTAAAACCTCATTTCCAATCTGGAATTAAATTATCTTTTAGTGGCTGCTACAAGGAGGGGAAGCGGAGGGGATGCTCTTCTCAGCCGACAAAGTCCAGCCATCTCTCCCCCACGACACTCAGGGCTCAGGTGAATCGGTGCCGCCGCCCACGGGCACATCTTAAAGCTCCAGCCAACTGCGGGACTCAGACCGGGACGCGCGACACTTGCTGTTTTCCAAGAGGACAAAGAGAAACAAGCCACAGACTCAACCCAAGAGAACACAGAGGACTGAGGTTCGCTGCACGGTGACAAGACTCAGCTACAGCACAGGTTAAACACAAGACTTTCCACGCGGGGACTCGAGACACCGGCGGGGATGTGGCCGGCCTCAGTCTCCGTCTGCGTCCGAGTCGGCGAACTTCAATTCACATTTGACGTCGAACGGTTTGTCCCTGGCAGAGAGCTCGTCGATCTTCTGCGAGTCCTCCCTGTCTGTGGGGACCTTGCTCGTGATGGTGTCCTGCTCCGTCTCATAGCCCGTGTCCAGGGCTGGCTTTGGCTGCTCCCCGTTCTGCTGGGAGAAGCTCCCTGGCTCGACCAGCGTCTCCTTCACACTCTGCTCCAGATCAGAAAAATCCGACTTGGGCTTCTTCTTCCCAAGCAGCAGGGCTGAGCGGAATTTTAAGCACTGTCCTGGCAGGTAGCCCTGGTAGCAGTTGTAGGAAACGAGGCAGAGGAAGAGGAGGAAGATGAAGAGGAAGAGAGACATGAGGATGCGGTTGTCGCTGGACTTGAGATACATCGTCTTCTCCGAGTGGAGCTGGGGGACAGTGTTGAAGACGATCTTTGGCTCGCAGGACGTGCTGGTGGGTGCAGGCTTGGGAGGTGGGGTGGTGGCCCCCGGGGAGGTGGCCCGCACAGCTGGGGTGGGAGGAGAAGACCCCAGGGTGGATGCCACAGACACTTTGGAGGTGATCCTACTCTCTTCCGTCTGGGTGGCCTGTAAGGTGGGGGTGGCTGAGGTCCGCGGGACCACCTTCACCTCCAGGATGTGCTTGGCCACCACCTGGGAGACTGTCTTGTTCCTGACCCTCTCCTCTGACAGGCACTGGTACACCCCACTGTCGCCTTCTGATAGGTTGAAGATGAGCAGGTTTTTCCTGCCCATGAGACCGTACTTGGGGCTCTCGGCCTTCAACACGCCGTTCTGGAACTTCCACACCACCCGGGCCAGGTTGGACTTTAGGGCGCATCTGAGCTCTGCCGTGCCGCCGTGCTTGAAAAAATGCTGCCGGTAACTTTCTTTAACTTTATCTGGAACATCAAAATAAACGTGCACAGCGTCAACAAACTGTTGGTTTACCCAACTTCTTTTAGAAATAGGTCAACACCCACAAGACGGCACAAGAGTTTCACCCAGTGGAGCAAGATGGAATCTTCTAGAACAACTAAGGAAATAAAGACATGCGCGACCGGAAAGCAAAGATGAGCCCCATGTGGCAGCCGGGGGGGGGGGGGGGG